GCCTGAACAGTGCGACATTAATATTCACTATCTCTCACACTCCAAAAAATACAGTACAGTTGTTCTTGCGTTTTTAAGTATAAAAATAATTATATCTGCCCATTCAATTAAAATTATAGCGTTATAGTTAACTACTAATCACAAACAAGTTTTGAAAATTTGTCCAAATGATGCAGTGTGAAAGAGAAAGTTTCTTTACTTTAAGTACCAGAACTGATAACAGCATTTATTTGGAAAAAAGTTCAATTTCTTACTACCAAATATGCATAATAAAATCATTAAAAACACATTAAAATAAAGAAATATTTATAACAATCTTTCCCTTCATAACTTAGTTTTATTCTGAAGTAAAGAAAATAAAAATATGCTGATCAGAGGAATTAATTAGAAGCGAGCACCTTGCGTAGCCAAAACAAAAAAAAGTTTTTCACAAACAAAAGATAGATATATGCTCTGGTGGGATTTTTTGCAGCGCAAGCCAGAATTGATGTAGATGGCAGAATTTTTTCCTACTTACTTGACAAATATCCTTATATTTTGTACACTTGATACAAAATCTTTATAAATTATAGTCTATGCTATAAAGTATAGCCTATGGGCTATTCTGATGTATATGCTATATTACTGTAAAGTTTCTTTAAAATCCCTTCAGTTGTTTTTACGTGAAAGACCCACAAAGATCCTCACAAACTTTCGCATTTATAATATATATTAGATGTAAAAATAATTTATTATAAATCACAGTACTCGCGTGCAGCTCAATTTTTTTGAGCTACACACTGTTTTTTTTATTTAGCTTTTCTGACTCAGCTTTCTCGGAATAAATAATTTTGACTGAAGTATTTGAAATTTCTTTTATAACTGAAAAATAAAAAAAAAGCTCATTGTCTTGGCATAAAAACTCAAAAATGAAAAATCGATAACATGTAGAAAAAGCTAAAAAACACAACATTTAATATATAATATCTTTAACCATAGAGTTGGTACCACATTGACACATCGGGGACTGTTAAAAATTATTTACTTCAAAGACAGTTTCAAGCCATGTACTGTGTAGCGTGTATTCCACTGACTCCAAGCCTTTGCCGTTTGCGACGTCAGTGGTGTCAATCCAGAGCTTTTTGGAGTACGGAGTGGAAATTTATTGGGTTTCTGATGAATGCAGGTTCTGTCTTGGAGCCATAGATGGCAGTATGTTGGTCAGAGGAAGCGAGGGAATATTAACGTCACACTGTTCAGCTAGACGAGGAATTTTGGCGACGGACCACTTAATTTTGAACAATGATCAAGTGACGTAGACAACACCTGAGCTGGCACCCCCTCTCCTAACTACCACACCACACCAACGGGATGGTGGTTAAGCTTTCGATAGATTTAACGTGCTTCGCTTCCCTACATGACGGGTCTTGAGTGGTACTGGGCTCGAACTCGTGACAAGGCCAGCCACGATACGATACCTTGATCAGTCGGCTCCTGCGGCCACTGTGTTGTTCAGAAGGAAGCCAGGGGAACGTTTTCAACCAAACTGTCTGTGGCGCAGACAAACTGCATCTGGAATCATGATCTGGGGAGCAATTTCCTTTGACAGCAGGATTACTCTCCTAGTTATCCCAAACACACTGACTGCAAATCTTTACTTCAGTCTTGTAATCCAACCTATACCACTGTCATTTATGAACAACTTTCAACGGTGAGTTCTCTGAGAGAATAACGCTCCCCCTAATGGCACTGTTTTGACGTAATGCGCTCTACAGAGTGATGATATGTAACCTTAGACTACGATATCACCAGATCTATCTCCAATATAGCACGTATTGCATATCATTGGATGGCAACTCATGTATGATCCACAACCTACACTGACACTTCCAGTATTGACACATTAAGTAGAAGCATGGAACTCCATACTTCAAAGTGACATTAGTTCCCTGTATGACACAATGCAATGCATACAGGCTTGCAAGCATGTATTAAAAATTCTTGAGGTTACAAGGGTTATGAATGTAACAGCATTTCTCATTTGAAATACATTTTTGTAGCTTAAATTAGCCTGTGTTCATGAAAATTTAACTAGGCAAATGCATATTTCAAATTTTATATTACTCTTCATAAATTTTTTCTTCATGTTGGATTTTTTTCCCGTCAGTGTAAAAATATATATCTTAATAGATATTTATTACCACCGGATTTGGGGTAGTGAACGGTAAGGTTTATAATCGCATTTGTTAGTTGAAAATATTCTCAAACAAGACGTGGAACCTTTATGATAAGTAAGTGAATGTTTATGAAAAACGTGCTTAAAGTAACACGAGGGTTATATATGTAGGATTTCATAATTTTGAGTCTCTATTTTGGCGACGAAGACGTCACCTGAAATGGCACGCTACTCTCTAAAATACGGGGGATTTGCAGTAGTAGCAGGATTCAAACCGGCGTCTCGACAACGTTGGCCACGAGTTCATGATCATGACCAGTAGGATATACCGTTGGCACAATATTATCAGATATCTTATCTTGAGTATCTTAACATTTAATAAAACAAAATGAAATTTGATATTAGTGAAAAAGAATTACTGTTTTTTTTAAATAAAAAAGTGTTTACAAAAGAGTCCAGAAGAAGGAAATAAGTATCGATTAGTTATACTCTAGGTTATTAAAAATTGATTCTGAATTAAAATTGACAAGATTCATAATAATATTATTCCTGAATACCGTGTAATTTTAAATTATTTAGCAGAATGAAAGAAAGAAAAAACCCTTTTGCAACTAATTCTTTCACATTTTAACTGTCCCAATTGTGGGATGTCTGCTACGCAAAACTTTCAAAACATGCATGTGACACATGTCGATTATTAAGAGAAAATTCCTAAAATTTTAAAGTCGACTGATAGTTTGATAACGAGAAGCACTTTATTATTCATCCATTAAACTTCCCTTTCAAAATTTTGTTTTGACAATAACTTTTGTTAAAAATTAGAAATTAAATTAGTTCGAGGTATTTATTATGAAAGTGAAATTCCATCCAATTAAGAACATTTGAAAGAGGTCTAACGCGAATATTTAGCTGCACTAAGAAACAAAAAAAGTAAAACGTTTGCTTTTTTAAATTTTTTTCCAAACTGTTCTTGAACGTGATTCAGATTCAAACCAACTCCGTTAATTACCATGATCTGTAAAAATGCAATGTTATAAAATGCAGAGAGCTAAAGAGTAATTAGTTTCCAGTCGGTTGCAGCAGATGTAAATGAATCCATATGAAAAAGAGGCAAGCAAGACTCATTTTGCATTAGAAAAATTTTCTTTGGCACGTTGCATTGAATTTAATCTATACTCTAATGGAGTTTAAACAATGATTTTTCTAGAGACATGGTTTTTTTGCCAATGTTTAATTGATGTGGGAAATAAAATACTTAAAGAGAGTCAGAATAGAGTTAACGATGTATCATCAAATCCACTTTATAAGGAAGTAAATATTTTACGGATGATTCATTAGTAATTCTATAACTTTTATTGTATCAAATCAAATTGAAAGTAATTTTTCATAAAATCAAACGTTTCTTGTCTCTACATGAATTTAAAATATGCTCAAAAGAGAAATTGTTCACCATATGCTATTCTATTATACTATTACATTTTCATGTCCTGTTCTCTTTTTTTTCTATTTAAAGCAAATTTGTTGAAAATATCACAAGAGGTACAACGAACAAATCTGAAAATGAAAATGAGACTATGCTTGAATAATGCTCCTAGACATCATGATTACAATATTCTATTTTAATCGATGGAAAAGCGCATTGGGTTGCAAAAGCCCATATTGGATATAATGAAAAATTTTATTTGAAATAAAATAAAAAAATTGTAATATTTCAACTAAAAAGAAATTCTTGATAAACGTTTAATGTAGTTTAGAACTTATATATAATTTATGAAACGCATTATCAATAATAAATTTAAGAAAAAAAAACCTGAAATATATAACATGTGTAATATATTTTGGGCATTTTTTGTAAATTCATATGTAGGCATTCAAAATCCATTTCAATAAGTAAACCAATACAAATTAGGATTAAATGTGATCGATTAATGTCTATCTTTAAAATACGAATTACCTACTCTGATTTAGTAATTAAGACTGGTGTTTAGAAGTATATAATCATATAAGCTCAAGAAGTATATTACTTTGATTTATTGTTGTAAATTTCTTTCTTCTTGTTGATTTTCTGATTGAGTTCTAAGGAAATGAACCATAGATTGAAACGTATCTATAAATCATAAATAAAACTAGATCAATGATGAAGTATTATTTTTCATCGCTGGTTACAAGGTACACATGTACTCTTCATTAAAAAAAGATATTTGCGCAGTGAATCTGCATAAAATTTTGGATCTGAAATAAATTTCTGCTTTTGGATAATATTCTGAATACTGAAAAATGTATGTATGTATGCATGCATGCATCTATCTTTCTATGTGTGTATATATTGAACACGTGCATTATTTCATCTCACATAATAAGCATACAAATTCTATTTTCATCTCTACAATGTATATTTATTTGACTTAAATATTGGGGACAATTAACGATTTTAAGGAAAGCCTCAATTTCTTAATACATTTTTTATTCCATCACAATTGACCATCACTTTTAAAAATCAAGTTTGCCTAAAATGAAGTATTTTTCTTTTAATTGCCCTAAATTATTCCCTTAACATTTTTTTAACGTCAATGTTAGTTTTTAACACTAGATTGCCCAAAGGAAGTCATTTTGATTGTTTTTTAATTTCAATTAGAAAAATAATTACATTACAATTTCTTAGAATTTTTGAAGTTATACTTCTTTTGGGGCGCTAGGGAAGAAGGATGAGGGTAATTTTTTACGATGCGCGCGCGCACACAGTCACTCTTGCGGAAATGCTTTGTTTAGAAACGTAAAGAACGGGATATAGATCATTCCCGGCTTCAAAATTCTCAGAAAATATTTCTCTTCACTTCCCTGAAGAAGGGGGCACTCGGGTTTGAACCTGGGACATCTCGATCTGCAGTTGAAATACTGAACGGGACAGATTATTCCCGCTTCGAAATTCTCAAAAAAACATTTCCCTTCTCTGAAGAAGGTTGCACCCGGGTTTGAACGGGGGAAGTCGAATGCTCTACCACTGAGCCATACCCCCTCCCCTCCGTGTCAGCGAACCTTTGCTTTGTGTTGATCTTGATTTGTGACGTCACTACTAGTAGGGAGAGTTGGTCCTTCGCCTACGGAACTCCGATGCATTTTTTAACACTTTGTGTTCATGAACCAAACATACTTTACAGGATTTTTTTTAAAAAATTAGTAAATTAATGTACATAAAACATTCATGTACATAAAACATAAGAGTAATTATTAGTTTACCTATTTAAATAATAATTGCAAGTAAATGATTATAGATGTATTTACTACGAACGCATTGCGATGCATATAAACACTTTTAATACATAGTGGACCTGAGGGGGCGTTATCACTAAAATTAGAATCCCCATGTTATTTATATGAGGTTCGAACTTTCGATGACGTCATGACATTACAGATATAGAAGGATGAAACTTTGGTATCACCTACTACTCTGTGTATCGTTGGGAGGTACGTGACCATTTACGTCACAGTTGTTCCCTCCCCGGGGGAGTTAGTTTCGTTTTCCTTTCCCGAGCTAGCCCCACCCCATTTGCAACTCCAGACTCCGGACCGGTTCGAATGGATTCCTTTTGTGTTTCCTCACAACCAGGCCCAGTTTCGAGTTGCTGGGCGCTCTGCTTCTATTTTATATAATTGCCTTAAATGTTTTAATTATTTTAAAAGGACCATAACTTGGGGGCTCTTCAGGCGGATGTCTTAATTTTCTCAGGAATGATTCTTCCCGCCAAGACATTCAATGTGAAGTCGCAGGTGTCACATTTGGTTCATCTCATCTCCAGATATAGTCTGCTGAAAACCCCACATATTATTGGTCCTATTGTACCTGTGCGCGAGGGGGGGTGTTTAAATTTATTTAAATCATGATTATCTCGAGTTTGGCTGATCCGATTGACTGAAGGTTAGTATCGCTCAACTCTGCTCGTGACTGCCTTTCGTCCTAGGCCGAGTTTGCTCTGCTCGAGATTTTTAGAAATATTTTAATCTTGTTACGCCATTCTTACATGCGTTCATAAGTACACACACAATTTTTTTAGAATATATTTTTTTCCAAGTGAAGCAATTTTTTATATTCTTAATATTTACTAATAATCAGTCATTTTGACTGCTTTTCGGCAATATAGGTATATACTAAGTTTCAGTCTTTCTCGTGTTAAGCATACATTATTAAAAATCCAAGAAAAATGAAATAAACTTTGATTTTCTTAATCTAGAAGAATCACTTAAAATTAATGCAACATGCCAAAAATTTCTTAATTAATTTTGGAAGATGTTTATTTTTCTTTTTATAGAAAAATAAACAGTTTAAAAAAGCAGTTTAATTTTTTAGAGTTTCGAGAATTTTAGTAAGTATTCCTTGCTTAAATATATATGATTATTATGATTACGTGGAGGAGTTTGAGTATTTATTACATACTGTCTACGCTAGCAGCAGTTAAAATATCAGATATAAGCGTTACCGAATACATTACTCTTTAAAATCACAGAATGTTAAAATAAAATGTTAACAAGAGGCTTTATAAGACCTGGGTCCTATTAACAGCACTCCGTAAAAGCTTTAATTTAACTTGGTACCTCCTCAAATCTTCTAAGTTAATAAATTGTAATTTCATTTTGATTTGTGTGCTCAAGCAATTTTCAATGATAGATACCTGTGAAAAAGAAAAATATATGGACGATAATACTTGCTTATAAAAGATTAATGGATGCTTATTATAATAATTTTCCCACACAGAAGACCAGAAATTCTGTCTTACATTTATCACAAATATATTATTTTAAACGAAAAGTAAATTTAAATGCATTTGAGGTACGTAAAATGTTTCAAAGAACAAAAAGAAGAAAAGAAAAAAAAACTTAAGAATTTTTTTTTATTAAACTAGTACTAATTAAAAAATCAAAAGATAATTCAAACACTAGCAAATCAAAATGCAAATTCAGTCTTAAGACTAAATTATTGTTTGATGATAACAATTGTTTTGATTTAAATTTGAATGACTAATATAAAAATCCAAATTACCCTAAATTTCAAAAATAGGACAAATACAAACATAATTAATTTTATAATCTATTTAAAAAAAGAACGTTAACACAATTCAGAGTATGGTCATAAAAAATAAATAACTCCGTTTCTAAAACAGGATAAAATATAAAAGTTGATAGTAGGATCAATTTTTCTATTTGTTAATAAATTACATAAGTAAGCATATGACTTTGTGAATATTCTTACAATTATTACAAAGAAGTTTTCAAAATCAAGTCGAAAATTCAACTTTGTGACAAAGTTTAATGCTGAAAGTTTTCTGCACTGTAAAAACAGTGCTTAAAAAGAAGAAGGCATCTTGAACTAAGTAACTTATGTATGAATTCACAAGTAAATTGTAATTTATACAAGAATACATGCAGTGACGTAACGTACAACCAACAACTCTCGCATTCCAGTGGACCCCAAAGTTCTAGGGGTCCCAAAGCCTAATTGCCGCCAAGTACCTATTTTTTTGTAAAATCCATCTTGGGGGAACAAAACCTGACTTTGCAGAGGGAGCCAAATGTTCTCCGTAACGCCACTAAATGCATAACTGCTATGACACGTAAGATGAATAATATTTTTTTAAAAAAACTAAAATGTTATTAAAGTATTTAATAGTAACAGAATTATTCAATGTTTACTTAAAATAATGCACTATATTTATTATTTGTCTTATTGAAAGAAACCATGAAACACAGCTAAAGATAATCAGCTCATATCGAAATTTTGGTTGTGAATATTTATGTGCTATATATAGATATGTATAAATGATTAATTTTCAAAGAAAAAAGATGTTAATTTTAGTCGTAGTGCACGTATCTACTGCACAGTTAGCATTGCATAAAAGTAGTAATAATCGCGGAAGTTTATGCTGCCTTATTGCCTTCTTCGCAGCTCCCTAGAGATACAATGAATAATGCCGTTGCTTAAGATGTTGAAATAAATTCAATGAACGACTTTATATATGATCACATAGTCGGAATGCATGAAACTAGCTGATTATAACAAGCAAAGGGCTGCCACCTGCATTGCTGTGCAAAGGTGTCGGTATTAAAATTGGCTGAATGAAATCTGTGAAAAGCCATGGTACATGGATGAGTGCAAATTCGGGCTATTATGCAACAGTCTCAAACGGACATCTAACCACATTTAAGACTTTAACCTTTAACCCTATAACAACAGAGTAATCTAAATTTATGAAATCTGCATTGCATTCAAAAACATCAGATGTAGCAGGTCTTTCTTACAAGTGCAGCAGTTTTGACGCTAACTTTCTTATTTTATGTCAAGAAATAGTAACAGATAATTAATTAATATTATTCTAGTAATTTAAGCTGTTTTATGAGTCACTAATTGGATAGGTATATGCACCACATGTACTTTATTTTAATTATTAATTTTCAGTATGTGTGAGCGTTTAATATTAAGGATTAATGTTAAATACATAAATGTATTATTTTAAATACGCGTATTAAGTGTATAAATCTAAAATAATGTAACGTACAGCTGTATAGTGTGACGTTAAGGCAACTCTCATACTCACTGTAAACGTTATTTATTAAATGCATTATTAAATATAAATAATTGTTAATATAAATAGACATATCTAAATCCGTGTACAGTTGAGTTTTCATTATTTTACTTACACAGCTTTTGAAATTAAATAAATTCCTTTATGGTATCATATGTGGCTTTTGAACAATGCATGTTTAAAACAAACGTATACACTCACACCTCCACTTACCTCAGAAATTGCACGTTTTTAGGCGATTTCTGAAGAAAAAACTATCTACCGTAATCATTTAAGTGAACATAAATAATTCCTATTAAGAGTACGTTGTATAATATACGTTATATAATATATACGTTGTAATAATCATTTATATTAAGAGTACGTTGCATAAAGACCTGATTCAGCTTTACAAAGCATTGCAAACTATTTTCGGAAACTAGGATTGGTGTAGAAATATTCGAGATAGGAGCTCATAAGTTATATATATATATATATATATATATATATATATATATATATATATATATATATATATATATATATATATATATATAAATATTTATAGAAATTTAAATGACCTTGTCATCATATAAGCATCACTGCTTGTTCGGAACAAAATCGAACACTTCTTGAACTGAAAAAAGACTAGGACTGGAAAGTGGATTACCCATGAAAACATCATAAGGAAAGAGCATATTGTGAATCCTGAAAATCTCCCCTCTCCCCTTATAAGCCGAAATTGAGTCTAGGTGAATGCTGTGTGTATGGTGGGATATTCTGAGTAAGCTAACTAGGATTAGGAAATACATTTTTAGCTTTTGAAACCAAGCAAAAAAGCTAAATTTGGAGGAGTAGTGTCAGTAATTAGATAATTTAAAAGCAACACTTCAATAAAACCGGCTGTTGATGTTCAACAGCAAAAACTTCATACTGGCCCATGATACCGTCTGCCCATGTGCTACTTTGGGGTCTCATCAGAGATTTGCAGAGCTACGTTGGGAAATTCTGCTGCATCCACCATTCGCACAAAACTTTACACCCTCTGATCGTTACTTGTTGTCTTTACAACATATTTTCCAAGAAGAAAAATTCAAAGACAGACTAGATATCAAACAAGCTCTGGTTCAAGTTTTCACTACTAGGAATGAGTCATTTTTAAAAAAAAGGGAATTTACAAATTGCTATCACACGGTTGCAAGCCGTCATAAATAATATTAACAAGTATATTATTTGATATTTATTCACGTTATGAAAAGAGTTAGGATTTTGGTTTATTCTAAAAATGGACAGAATTTTTTGTAGCCTTAATAAATAATAGCTTTATTATAAATATGAAATATAATTTAAAATGTTCGCTAAAAATAATTTTATTTTATTCTCATCTAGCTAATTTTAAGTCATTGTAAAAATACACTTCAACCAATAGAATGTATCGAAAATGTTTTTCTATTGGCACAAA